GAAATCATTTTTTCATTTTTTTAAAGAGTTTAAATCTTTCTTCCAAAATTTTGTTTAGGGATCAAACTAGTAAGTAAATATTTTCTCAAAGATAATTCAGAGTGCATGTGCATTCCATACACCCAAGTAGTATAATTAGAAACAAAACAGATTTTGTGTATCATGTAATCAAGAGTACTGAAATAGAAATCAAAGAAACTTCTTTACTAATTGGCACTGTGATCTTCTGAAACTACCCCAAATTCATAACTTTTCTAAGCTAGAAAATGCAAAGATTATATTTCATTAGGATACCGAAAAAGTTATTTCTCGGTCTCAGATCATCCTAGAATTTTCAGTTCCTGTCTTAATGTTTGTGTTGATCTAGAAGAAGCCAGTTGTATTATCTTTAGTAGTGGATTTCTACTGGACTTTAGATGTAGACTTAGAAGAGTAGAGGTTATCTGCTGTTCCAAAGAGGAAAGACAAGTGGAGAGAGCGCTACTCATTATAAGGATGGATAAAATTCTAACTTTAGCTGGTCATGGTGCACACCTGCAATCCTAGCCTCTCAGGAGGTACAGGTGGGACGATATCTTGAGCCTAGCAGTTCAAGTCCAGTCTGAGAAAAATAGCAAGACCCTGTCTCTTTAAACAAATATCTAACTTTTAGTGACTATTTGAGAGTTACCTAAAAATGTAATTACAAAGATTAAACATGCTTTGTAATTACAAAGAGTAGATGACTTTATCATTTGAAAACAGAAGAAAATACATTTAGTTTCCAGCTATAAGCTGAATTCTCAAGGACAAAAAAAGCAAGTTCACATGAAAGGTCGTATATCTACACGGTTGGGAATTTCTTATATTGAACTTCAGAGAATACAGAACGATTTCAGAATCTATGGAAAGACCTTAGCATAAATCTATCATAGAATTTTTATAATTAGAATAGTTATTTTCTTAATATTCAGATAATGCTTCATTCTTTGTAGTACAGGAAACTGGTATCCCTTGAGTTCTCGAAATCTGGATATGTGGGGACAGGGTGGAATCAGGACAAAATACCATCTGCTTCTTTTACAACATCCCAAGAGCAGCACTATCTGCTTTGGCACAAGCAAAGTCATGAGGCTCAATTTGCCTTGTTAAATTTATCTTTAATCATTTTGACATAGAGAGGAAAAAATAGTATCTCACCATGTCCTGTGAAAAGAAAATACTTTAGAAGAAGCTATTCCTCCCAATAGTTCATTACAAAATCAAATGAGACCTAGAAGGAATATGCAGATAATACAGTAAAAGCATATCTGGTGGTTACTTGCATCATGGTCATAAAACCTTCAACCATGGTAGTTAGAGTTAATAATTCTTTTCCACCACGTCGTAAGACAAAGCTTCTAGTTGCAAAATTTTTCTAAGTGCATAAACTTTAAAAATATATATTTTTAGATCTAAATAGTGTTGAAAAAATTTCCTTTGAAGCTTGAAGGAATGTTTCTAATATGGAAACATTTCATGTGTGTGTATGTATACTTATATATGTATATATGTGACACATGAAATATTTGTTATTTCTTTAAAAAATAGTGAACTATTATGTCTATTTCCTCATTATTGTTAAATAAGAGCAAAACATGTGTGTATGTAGTCACTATCACACCCTGTCAAAAGCAGAGAGCAGATGGAGCTGAGCTATGTAGCTTTACATAGCATTACCTTTTCATGGCTAGATGTGTGATGGTTAAGGTTATATTCTCTGAAGTGAAGGCTGTCTAAATTTAAATTCCAACTATATCACTTGCCAGTGAATAATATTGGGAAACTGTTTACCTTTTGGGGGTCTCAGTGTCTTTATCCATAAAATGGTGATCATAAGAATATGAGCTCTTTGTGTCTTTAAATTAGATAACCCACAGAAAGTATTTACATTGAGCCTGGAACATGACACACTCACTACTTTTAGGAGTTGTCAGCCCTTGCCAAAAGAGGGCATGCTGTTTGTTAAACAACCCAAAGAACTAATAATAGAGATGTTAAAGACTAATAATGAATTAAAATTTGACTTAGGCGAAATCAGGGGCCAAATATGTTTAAGGATGTTGAGGAGGAAAAGCTTTATAGTACCTCTCAATCTTACCGCACCAGTGGTCACAAATTAACTTAATTGTAGTTCTCATAAGGTAATTCTTTGGATGCGAACTCACTAATATCACATGATGACTTCAAAAGTGCAGAGGACATTAATAAAAAAATGAGGGCTTGCAGTTTGATCCAACTGGTGTCTTGTCATTATCTGCCCCATGTATTTCCCCATTGTCTTTTCCAGGGTGGAATGTCTGTTTGGTCACTTCCCATGGCTCTTCAGTGATTTGATAAAATCTTAAATCTTGGTCTGGGTCCTCTACAGTTGGCCTCCAGTATTTTCCTAGACCATGCACATTATGTTCTTTCATAGCACGCTGCAATCCAGCTACAAAAACTGTTATGGTATCCTGAAATACCTTTCACTTCTCCATTCCAGAGCTCTGCTCAGGCCCTTTCTTCTCCCTGTACAGATATATTATTACTCTTCAAGCCCTAGCTCCTAGATGAATTCTCTCATGAAGTATTCCTTGTTCATGCCAGCAGGATAGTCTTATTTTATCTTATAAAGTTTTGTCCAACTTATTATTTGTCCAGCAGCTTTCAAATTTTCAACTGATATCACAGTAAGAAATGTATTTTGCATTGGCACATATTTCATGCAGGCTTACACACACACACACGCACACACACACACACACACACACACACCCCTATACCAAAGCTTCATAAAAGAATACTTATATTTGCAATACCACTGTTGTTTTTTTTCTTTTCTAAGTTGGTAAAAGCTCTGACTGCAATCTACTAAAGAGATTTATTTATTCTTTGATTGTATCACAATCTGCAGTTTGAAAAACACTGGTTTATATAACCCATATAGAATATATCTTATTATTTATTGTGCATAGGCATTATGTTTTCTACCAGACTGAAAGTAATGTGTGATACCATCTGGTAAATCATAGATTCTTTTATTGTATCTAATTATGATTTTTACATAAGTAGTTGCTCAGTACATATTGAGGGAGAAAGGGAAGGAAGGAAAAGAAGAGAAGGAAGGAGGAAGGAAAAAAGGGAAGGAGGGAGAGAGGAAGGAAGGAAGGAAGGAAAAACACCTCTAGAGATGTTGATAATGCTCAGAAATTAAGACTGTTACTATTTAGTAAGTCCATAGATGAGGATTATTCAGACTATTTATAGGTGAATTTACCTAAGTGGTATTTCCTTTTGAGTAATTTCTTCAACCTCAATATAAAATTTAAAATTAGGGTTATACCATGGAAGTTAAGACTAAAACAAAGATATCTTGAACAAAATGACTAATAGAGAAAAGATAAGCTTCTTTCTACAGGCTGTGTTCCTGCTCCCTGCTGAATATTGTGGGGTAGGGAGGTAGGACCAAGGGTGTGAAGTACACCTCCAGAGGTGAAAAAAGCTTTTGACTTAACTTCCATAAAGCTGGTGAAAATGCAGTTTTGTCATTTCTGTATGTGCTGAACACATTTCTCTGTGTGCTGAATATATCAAGCAATTTCTTTGTGCTATCTATAAACAGTTAGTGCTGAGAACGAACACTTCCAAGCATCTCAAGACTATAAAATTATACAGCAAATATACTCTATGTCATTACATCTGAGATATTGGTTTCATTGACATGCCAGATTATTGGTTTTTCTCATATTCAAAAAGCAACCTTTCAAATGTAATATAATTTGAGAAGTCATGCTATTAACATATATTTACTATAATGACATACCCAGTTTGACCAGGATTTGAATATACCTTTATTATTCAAAGTCCATCATCTTAACTAACATGCTGTATATACTCTATCCAGACCAAGTAACAACAAAAAGCAATGCTTTCCATAGATGTGACTATCTTTTTCAAATTATCTTATTAGATGTTTGCTGTGTTTTGATCTTTAACATAATACTGTATTTTTAGAGATGAAAACAATAAAATACAGGAGTAAAAATTTTATAAATGCTAATAAATTACAATAATTTTATGTGGAGTAAATCTTTTTATAGAACACTGAGTTGAGTCCTACATACTTCACTTTGAAAAATAATAATGTAGTGATGATTTTGCCAACTCAGGTTGTTACAGAAGATCGATTTCCTCATTTGGTTCAATAGAAGTTTTAAGAATTATTATTTACAAGAAAGATATAATATGGAACAAAATATTTGCCTTCATTTCTGTGCCTTTGCCTGCCCAAATAGTGTTAAAATTTAGAGAAATAAACAATTAAAATATGTGGATTTATGGTGGCCCCATTACTTTTAAGTATGTTGCAGTTGTTGAATTTCTTTAAAGATTATTGTCTTTCCTTGGAACTTATCTTTGTGTGTGTATGTGTGTGTGTGTGTGTGTGTGTGTGTGTGTGTGTACACCTATCTTTATTAATTATAATCTTTTGAATTTTATACTTTATATAGTACACTTTTATGTAGAAAGAGTGCTTTCTATCAGGAAGAATGTATACTAATATTGACATTTTAATACTTAATAACTTTAATGTGATGTAAAAATATTTAGCGAAACATCTATTGACCAGAGAGTGTCCATTAAAGAATTTCATCTGGCAAAGTTAGTTTAGTTGGATTTAAAATATTATTAAATTTTAAATTTATGCATTTATTCCTTATTAGTTTTCTCAGAAAGCGTATTTCTCTGAAACCACAAATGCTGCTACCAGCCATCTTGAAAATTCATGCCATTGGTGAGAAGCAGATAGAGCTAATGAATGAATGCTGGGCTAAGGATAAATTGATTACAATTTGAAAATTGGTTGCAAATTCATGGTCTAATGACTGGGTTATCAGCAGTATATATACAGTATACTTGTTTAAATATACTAGTCTATTGATTGGCAAACTGTATGTAAATGTTAATGCAACTACTTTAATGTATTTTTCTTTTTTCAGGTCTTATAAATGCAAATATTTCTTCACCAAGTGTCACTACTACAATAAAAACATCTGCACAAACACCAAGCACAGAATCATTACAGAATCCTGTTACCACACCAACAATTGGAACAATTCCTACAGGTAGGATTAACTGTTAGTAAATGTAGTTTAACTTTAACAAATAAAATTACTAGTATATATACAAATCAGCATGAGAAAATAATTTGGGATCTTATATCTGATTGTTATAAAGATCAGTGCTATTTCATAATTTTGAAATTATGTGCTATTTGGGGTTGCGTACAAAAATCCAATGTCTTTGTTGATAGTCTTTGAGATCACTTCCCGTTGAGAATGATTCTATTGTGAGTGTTACATACACACAGTTTATTTTTAGAGAAGAAAGAAATTGCCATGTCCTAAGTCATAAAATATCTTTCTAAATATTCCAGTTCTTCCCCTAAGCAGCACAGCCAACATGTTGAAACTGTATTAATAACAGACTGGTTTTGTTGGTTTGTGACAGACAGACTGTTGCATTGTGTTGATAATAGATTTAATTTGTAGGTTTTTGTAGCAATGTAATAATTGTTACTGGACTGACTGACAACTATATCATGTTTTCTAGCTAGGTTTTTAAGGAGATTACCTTACCATCCACAAAAAATGTTAAAATCCATTAGAATCCTTCCATTAAAAAACAAGAGGTAATCGATGCAATGCATACCGCATCTGCCAATCTAGCAACACACATAAAATGAGGCATATCACACAGGTTCTGTAATCAGTGGCAAAGAAAAACAGATTTGTTGATTGCCTTTGGGCAAAAACTCTGGTTAGAATTCAAAGGTCATAGAAGGACCAGAAAAATCAAATATCTTGATGAATGGATAACTGAAATTTCTACTACTGTCTTCTTTACCTCTTTATTCCCTCCTTAATTTTCATTCTAAGACCAAGATCAAATATATGCAGAAGACCAATGAAAGCTAGTTTGCTGGACTTGAATAGGGTGGTGACAAAGAGTATTATGACCATAGTCCATTATTTCTGCATTGTTTGCTTATAAGATGACACCAAACCATTTCTAGCAACTTTACTATTGGGGGACCCCCATAGCAGAAAACTGAAGCACCCTTCTCTGAAGCGAGTGCACAGAATATTTGAGGTTACACACACACACACACACACACCACACACAGACACACACTCTTTTTTGGGACACTTTTACTGGTTTATATTACCCATTTAATATAAATTACACTGTTGTCTGTATCCATCAATAGTTTATACACTTGAGTGTTAAATTATTCACATACAATTATATAAAATGTAATGGGCCAGAGAAGTTTTACTTTTTGTTTATTGATTATTATTACAAAAATAGACAGATAAATTCCAAAGAAGAGAATACTATAATTAATCTCCATATGTCCATCTCTCCAAATCACTATTTATCTAGATTTTATCACATTTGCTTCATTTTTCTTTTCCCTTCCTGCCTTATTTTTGCTTGTTTGTTTCACTCTTTTAATTTTATTGTCAAGGTACTTTGAAGGGAACCCAGACTTCATGCCAGTTTACTTCTATACACTAAATATGCGTCTCAAAAAATATAGACAATTTATCACAAAGTTGCAAAGCCATCATCAAATCCTCCAAATCAATAATAATACTTTAGTTTCATCTGAGATCTATTTTGAGAAGTTTTAAGGGTTAAAATCTCAAAATATAAATCTAGCAGTGGGAAGGAAATTAAAGGAAGTCAGTCCTAAGAGAGTGAGGTGGAAGAGGGAGAAAGCAGAAAAGGCAGGCTCTCAGGTCCCCAGCTGCTTGGATCTAGAGTGGGAAACAAAGTCTGGTATGGGGTAGGGCTGAGAAAGCCGTCAGACAAATGGGAGTCTGTGTTGCTTATAAGAGAATGAGGGAACAGCATTAGACAAAGAAGACAGAGAAAATAACTGCTTTTTGTCTGGCTTACTTGATCACCACCATGTATTAAGTGTTAGATGAATGACACTAAGTACACTTAATATGGCCATCCTCCTAAAGGCAACAGATTTAGTACAGTCATAAAGATGATGGAGAATATCCCTCCTTACCTTGAATTCTTATGTCCTAAGCATTGTGTATCAGTATATTTGAGTTGTTAATTTCAGGCCTGTGAGGGGCTTACATTTGGAGGAGTTTTGTACATTGTCCCATTCTCCAAAATAATTATTTTTAAAATTACTCGATAAAACCAAAGAAAAAACGTATCTGTAGTGAAGAAATCCCTTATTCCTGCTTACTCATGGCCAACTTGGTCCTCTTAGCCAGGATGAAAGTATTTCCCAAACAAATACAACATGAAGAGGCATCTTTACTTTCATTTTAAGACTTCCTAATCAGATATTTTTGGTTTAAAGGTCAAAAGCTAGTTGGTCTAATAGTGCTTATGTCTTTCTAAATCACATAAAATTTATTTATCTTGCCAATGGCAGAAATTCTATCATCAGAAAAGTGGAAAATGTGCAACTGAGATGAGAATTCTTCTTGTGTCTGATAGAGATTTGCCTGAAGCTGGGCTTGTTTTCAGAGATTTGCCCAATTAGATAAATGGGACTTGACCTCTTCCTAGATGTACATCAAGTGCACTGCACATTTTGTGCAAAGGCCAAATGGCTGGAGTTAAAAATCAACATTTGACAGATGTTGAATATCCCTATCATAAAATAAACTTAGGATAAAAAAGAAACTTGAAATTTTACTTTTTAAAATTAAAACATTGATTATTATTCAGCTTCATTTTAAAAACATTTGATAGTCCAGTATTTTTCAGTGAGTTGAATTATAATGCAGGAATAAAAGTTTCTCAACATTGATACTAACAATTTCTGCTACTAAAATAGACATTCGATTTCAGCTGAGGCCAGTAAAGGAGCCTGGTGATTTTGGCCACCTATCTTACACAGGGTGCTAAATATGGTGCTGTTTCAGTTGTACATCCTCTTTGTAGAAACTAGCTACATACAACTATAAAGAACAAAATTTTAAAAACATCATTGAAAATTCTGTTGTATGAATAGTTAGAAAAAAATGAGCTTGGGAACTCCATTTTTCTCTATACTCTTTCTCCTTTTATTCATTGTCTTTCTGTTCCTTGTTATGTTTGAATAGAAAATAAAGTACCTGGAATATCTTTGTACGTGATTTTTTGGTTTCTCCTTTTTATAGAATTTTGAAATGGCAAAGTTGATGTTTTGCTTTTAGTTCATCATCGCAAAATATAAAATGTTTACAAGTTAGACATTTTCTTGAAACATTTGTGGCCTAAAGAGAATTATCACTGTTCTCAAAGGTTGTTTTAGAAAATGGCATGAATGAATGCTAATTTAAGCAACAATTTTTCAGAGAGTAAAATTATGATATTCTGATGATTTAATCTTTTATAAACATTGATTCAAAATGATATAATATCCTTAAAATGAAATAGCTTTTTGTTATAATTACACAGTATATCCATGCAACAAACCTGCACATGCACCCCCTGATTCAAAAATAAAATGTTACAAAAAAGGAAAGAACAAAGAAGAGAGGCCAGGTGCTGTGGTTCACACCTGTAATCTCAGCACTTTGGGTGGTTGACTTGGGGGAATCACTTGAGGCCAGAAGTTTGATGCTGCAGTGAGTTATGATCACACCACTACACTCAAGCCTGGGTGACAGAGCAAGACACTGTTAAGAAAGAAGGAGAGAAGTAAAAGGGGAAGGAAGAAAGGAAGGAAGGGAGAGAGAAAGGGAGGGAGAAAGACTATTACAGAGAGTGGGAGAGTAGGCATCAAGCTGATGAGTCATGTTGACTACTTAAGGCAGATTTGTCCCTTGGTTGATTTTCACGTGCTATATGAGTGCTCCCTTATTTGAAACAATATAGACTAAATGCCTAGTGTATGCCAGGAATAATTCTTGATACTAAGATTTAAAATGTGACTAGACTTGGATACTGCCCTCAAGAATAAAGGAGGGCACCTGGCATAGAGTGGGAGCTCAAAGCACATTTCATAAAAAAAACAAATTAACACAGAAGATTTCAAGTTCCTTCATGACTTATGTTCATTTAGAAGTTTCAATGCCAGAATTAATAAATGAAAAAAAATAATAATAAAAAAATGAGAAAAAAAGACATGATACTCCTAGGTCCTATTGACCATGCCACTTTTCTCACAGGGAAAAATAAAATGATTTTAAACATTAGAATTTAGACTTTTGCAGTAATTGTTTGCATGTTTAAAGGTACCTAAGTAACAATCTTCATTGAAAACTTGTTTTGGGGGCCTATTATGCAAAATGTCTGTGTCTATGCATGTAGGCCACCCAAGCATTTAATATATATATTCTTTAGACAAAACTAATTGGAAAATGGGAAAAATTAAAGATAGTCAAAGGTGGGATGCCAGTCCACCTATAGATTTGACTTACTTTTACTTTGTTCATTGACAGATAACATGAGTTTATGATTAATAATAATGTAATCTATTTTATCAAACTAGGAACAACCAACAGCGAATTACTTAAAAAGTCTCTGTTAACAGTTGCTTCATTAACGACAAGTACAGAAGGTGAGTAATGATTCATTTTTCTACCATTAAAAATATATATAACTCATATATCATAATAGTCACCGTTTTAAAGTGTACAATTGAGAAGCTTTTAGTATATTAACAAGATTGTACAGCCACAACCACTATGAACATCAGCGCATTTTAAGCTCCACAAGAGGAAGTTCCATATCAATTTCTAGTCACTTCCCATATCCCCTTCTTTCTTTGCCTTGCTTTCTCTGCATTTTATAAATTTTGGTATATTATGTTTCCAGGTTAATTTATTGCAAAGTATTTCTAATATTTCTTATGATTTATTCCTTGACCTCTCTATGTGTTCCTGTGTTCTCATCATTTAACTCCCACTTATAAGTGAGAACATGCAATATTTGATTTTCTCTTTCTATGTTAGTTTGTTAAGGATAATATTTAACAGCTGCATACATATTCCTGCAGAGGACATTATGTCATTCTTTTTTATAGCTGCATGGTATTTCATGGTGTATATGTATCATATTTTGTTTATCCAATCTGTCATTGATAGGGCATTTAGCTTGATTCCATGTCTTTGCTATTCTAAATAGTGCTGCGATGAACATGTGCGTGCTTCATAATAGAATGATTTATATTCCTTTGGGTATATACCCAGTAATGGGATTGCTAGGTTGAATGGCATTTCTGTTTTTAGGTCTTTAAGAAATTACTATACTGTATTCCACAATGTTTGAACTAATTTACACTCCCACAAACAGTGTATAAGCCTTCCTTTTTCTCCACAACCTCATCAACACCTGTTATTTTTTAATTTTTATTATAGCCATTCTAACTGGTATGAAAGAGTATCTCATTGTAGGTTTGATTTGAATTTCTCTAATGATCAATGATGTTGAACTTTTTTTATATTATTATTGGCTACATGTATGTCTTCTTTTGAAAAGTGTTCATGTCCTTTGCCCACTTTTTTATGAGGTTGTTTTTTCTTGTAAATTTAAGTTTCTTATAGATGCTGAATATTAGAACTTTGTTGGATGCATAGTTTTCAAAAATTTTCCCCCATTCTGTAGGTTATCTGCTTATTCTGTTGATAGTTTCTTTTGCTATGCAGAAACTTTAGTTTAATTTCATCCTATTTGTCAATTTTTGCTTTTGCTGCAATTGCTTTTGGTGTCTTCATCATCTTTGCTCATGCCTATGACCTGAATGGTATTGCCTATTAAACTACCATTGACAATCTTCACAGAACAGGAAAAAAATATTTTAAAAATCATATGGAACCAAAAAAGAGCCCAAATAGCCAAGGAAATCCTAAGCAAAAAGAACAAAGCTAGAGGCATTATGTTACCGGACTTCAAATTATATTACTTGGATACAGTAACCAAAACAGCATGGTATTGGTACAAAAACAGACATATAGACCAATGGAACAGAACAGAGAACCCAGAAATAAGACCACACATCTATGCTATATAATCTTCAACACAACTGCCAAAAACAAGCAATGGGGAAAGGACTCCCTATTCAATAAATGATGCTGGAATAATTGGCTAGCCATATGCAGAAGGTTAAAACTGGACCCCTTTCTTACACCATAAACAAAAATTAACTCAAGATGAGTTAAAGACCTAAATTAAATACTTATTTTATAATTTTATAAACTTTGACTATTAACTCTTTATCAGTTATATAATTTACAAATCATTTTTCTCAACTTTTAAGCTGCTTTTTATTTTGTTGATTGTTTCCCTTGCTGTGCACTAGCTTTTTAGTTTGATGAGTCCCGTTTATTTACTTTTGCTTTTGTAGCCTGAGCTTTTGATGTGATATCCAAAAATAATTGCTGAGGCCAATGTGAAGGAGATTTTCCCCCATATTCTCTTCTGGAGGTTTATGATTTCAGGTATTACATTCAGGTCTTTTATCCATTTAGAGTTGATTTTTGTGTGTTGTGTCAAATAAGGGTCCAATTTCATTATTTTGCATGTGGTAATACAGTTTCCACTGCTATTTGCTGAAAAGACTACCCTTTTCTTATTGTAATTTCTTGGTGCCCTTGTTGAAAATTAATTGACCATATATGTTTAGGTTTATTTCTGGACTCTTTATTCCATTCCACTAGTCAAAAACACAAATCATAAATGTAAAGCCAATGTATCTTGATGTTGCAATTCTCTTATAAATTAACATTTCTCCAGAAAAATTATGTTTGTGAAACCTAATGCATACATTATTGTCTAGGCTTATAGTACAATTCATAACTGTAGATAAAAGCAGGTACATACTGTTATGTAGAGGAAAGTAGAAAAGTATTCAGATTTAAAGACCAGCTTTATGATTGATTTACTTTTTCTCTGAAAGTGTCAATTACTCATTGACAGTAGTTTGGAATAAACTGTGTTAAACCTAAATACGACTGGAAAAATTTTCTCAACAAGATGTTAATATAACTATGATTCTTATTTCTTAATAAATGTTAGTCATCCATGCATAAATTGTTCTCTCCTGAGACTAGGATTTGAAGCATTTCTGTATATTGGTTAAGCTTAAAAATTAGTGGCTGTGGCAGCATCTTTTATTCTATTCAGTTTGGGGTTATCATGAATATTTTAAAATATTTCGATTTACCTTCAAAGCACTCAAGATTTGCTCCATGGCCTACTTCATGTGGTATAATTGACAACCTGTCCTACGTTGACTGTAGGCTCTAATTCCGCTCATTTGTGAAGTATATTGCACATTTATAATAGGCAATTCTCTAAACAAAGTCTTTGTCATTGCATTCCCTGCTATTTCATTGTTTTTTTCCTCTCTTTGTATATTTCCAATCTGGCAGCCCTCCACATCTTTCTCAGATATATTTTCTCTTTCCTTCCACCAAGACTGTTGAGTCTGCTTGATACTAGGGAACTCTTTAGGACTTCAGGATAGCTTTTTCATGCTTTCCAATTATCGCTCAACTAAAGAATTCTTCTCCAAAGATTTCTGGAGATGAATGCCTGATGTTTCCCAAACATGTTGGAATTCCAGTGGGAAGCAAAATCTTTACCCTCTGGAGTTTCTCCAACCTCAAGCATTGAGTTTCTGTACCTTGGGTGACCTTTCCCATTTCCATGCTAACATGAATACCAATTGCTGCTTTCTTGCTATAATAAGGCATATCTCTACTTCACATATATTCCTCTCAATTTAACACTTTATGATGCCTCTGAAATGTGTGGCCATTTTCACTTATTCTCTCTCATATGCAGGATTAACACTGTAGACTATATTTGAATTTATTTCATATTGCTTGCATAGTAATTCCCGAAGGCTTTTTACCTGAAGGAAAATATATTTATCCACTGTCTATGAGGTCTTCTTGCAAATGATCCCTTTCTCCAGCACAACTCAACTAAGAATTCGCATTACAGAGTTGATGCTCATTGACATATAATAGAAGCTGACTGCACTTCTAGAAAGCACCAGCAATTCTTGCTCCATTCTACTCAGTGTTAGAGACCTACTAAAGTGCTTTCCCATCATCTCCAGCTAGCATCACATCTAGCTAACACCAAGCATGCAGTAAATGGCATGTCTTCATTTCCTTCAGAAGCCCAGTGTTTCCATACTATACTGAAAAAACTGAAGAGTGTCAATTATTATATTCATAATACTTAGGGAAATACAGGCTGTTTCAAGTCATTTTATTCCAATGTATCTTTGAAAGCTCAGCTTACCTTTTTGTTGTAAGTTTTTCTTTTTTTCAAGAAAATGAACTAAGTATAATTAAAAGTGTATTCCATTTATGTCCTATGTCCTATTATCCCTCATCCCCTGACTATTCCACCTGCTTGAAAATATTTTCCCAAGTGGCGTGAAAACAATAGTGCCATACTTAATTACCACCATATCCCTACCATTCTTTTCCCAGGGCAGCTGAGTGATTAACTTTTGCATCAGAAAGCCTTGAATTCAGGTCATGGTTCTCTCCTATTACAAGTTACATGATTGTGGGGAAATTACTTAATTTCTCTGAGTCTTATATATATAGTAATTCTCATCATTATTTAATTCATAAGATTATGATGATAATCAAGTGACATAATCTACAGCATGTACACAGGAAACTTAATATCTATCCACATTCTTTAAAGTAATTAACTATATCACCAAAAGGTGAATGATAAAATGCTGGATTTCTAGGGCTGGGTCAGAAGACTTCTAGATATTAATCTTCAAGTTTTTGTTGGATATTAATATGAATATTAATAAGATGATCTGGTGATTTGTTATACCCCTGATAACTTTTCATTCTTTTTACAGAATTAAGAATCACAACCACTGATGGCAGGGAGAATGAGTCCATTATTTCAAATGTAGCAGTAACAAATCTTGCACTTCCAAATGCTGTTTCAACGTCACAAAGTTCCCAACACAAGAGTAAGTATGAGGATTTGTGCTGAAGTGTTAAACTAGTGTGTTGGATAAAACTAGCTTCAGAATATTTTCCAGGATACAACTGCCAAAGAAGAATTTTGCTCTACCTAAATTGTTTCTTAGTCTCTACCCAGTAGCAAATTATTTGGCAACCTCGTCTTTCTCAGTGATACCCTATCCCACTGCAGCCACAAATGAATGGGTGGCAAGGAAGATTAATGCAAGCTGGGCAGTAATCTGTGATATTACCTGCACTAAAAGGATAGCTCAGCTAACAAATTAGACAACTCAGATGAAACGGGAAAATTGTTAGAAAGAAATAAATTGCTAAAACTGACTCAAGAAAATGTGGAAACCTGAAAAGACCTATAATGATTAAAGAAATTGAAATAAGAATTTAAAATGTTCTTATGAAGAAAACCTCAAGCCAAGATGGCTGAATTGTCAATGCTATAAAATATTTCAGAAATAAATCACACCAACTCTTTCTCAACTCTTTTGGAAAGTAGAGGAGAGGAAAACACCGCACAAATAATTATCTGAAACTAATGTTACCCTGATATCAAAGCAAGAAAAGAATGAAAAGAGAAAGCAAGTAAAGAAAACTACAGACCAATATGGCTCTTAGACATATATGCAAATATCCTTGATAAAATATTGCAAAAAAATCAGTAACAAGTAAAAAGGAATGTAAAATATGAACAAGTCAGATTTGTCCAAGAAATGCAAGATTAGTTTAACGTATGAAAACTAAAGAGAGTAATACAACTTATTAGTAAAGTCAGTATATGCAGAAAGAGCATTCGACAAAATCTAACGCTCATATTAAAAACTCTCAATTAACTAGAAATATAATTGTATTTCCTCAACTTGATGAAGGGCATCTACAAAAAGCCTACAGCTAACGTCATACCTAATAAAGACTTAATGTTTTCCACTTAAGATCTGGAACATAGCAAAAGTGTCTGTTCTCATCACTTTTATTCAACATTACAGCCAGAGGTTCTAGATGGTACAGTTCAACAATGGATAATACATAGATCCATTTAGATTGAAAAGGAAGAAATAAGGCATTTTTATTAGCAGACTACATCATCATCTTATAGAAAATTCAGAGAATTCACAATAAAACTACCAAAACCACTACACAGCAGTTTGTAGCACAGGACATAAAATATATAAAAATAAATTATATTTTTGTATGTTAACAGTGGCAATCCAAAATAAAATTAAGAAAATAATTTCATTTTTAATAGCATCAAAAAATATAAAATATATAGAAATAAATTTAACAATAGAAGTACAAGATTTATACACTAAACTACAAAATATTTTGGTGAGAAATTAAATGTCTAAAGAGACATTATTACATGTTTATAGGTCAGAAATCTCAATATTTTAAATGATAATTCTCTCTAAGTTGATCAATATAGTTAATGCCATCCCTATCAGAATCCCAGTTTTTTTTTTAAGAAATTGATTAGATGACCCTAGATTTGTACACAAATAAAAAGGACCTGGAATAGTCAAAACACTTCTGAAAAAGAACAAAGTTGGAGAACACAACCCAATTTCCAAACTTATTCTAAAGCTATAGTAATTAAGTATGAACTTCACAAACATTATACTCAATGAAAGAAGTCATACACAAAACATGACATGTGGTATGATCCTATTTATATGAAATATGCAGAAAAGACATTTTATAGAGACAGAGAGCAGGTAAGTGGTTGCCTGCAGCTGGAGATGGGAGTAGGGACTGACTCTACATAAGCTCAAAGGAGTTTTTCATGTTGATGGAACTGTTCTAAAACTGGATTATGGCAATGATTGCACAACTCTACAAATTTACTAAAAATTATTACCCGTACACTTTAAATGAGTGCTTTTAATGGTGTGTAAATCTTATCCCTATAAAGCTTTATTGAAAAACAAAAGGAAAGAAAATGATGAGCTTAGCTAATCAAATTTTCATTCTGAGTAATCTGAACCAGAAAACCCAACAAACAGAAGGAGTTACCTATGAGAATTGAAGCTGCAAAATTTCAGTAGAAGGAGTCTGAGGTAGTCATGGTGATTCACGTGCATACCTATGGCATCCAGAAGCAGTTATTATGAGTAAACAGGATTTATAGAAAAGAATGGAAAGTATGCTGGGAGATGGAAATACCCTGTGAGCAAAACTAAATTGTTCATGTGAGGCAGAGAGGGAAGTAGAAGCTAGAACTCCCATGATTTCTGATAGCTTTCCAGTTTCCAGTTTCCTCACAGCAGGCACATCTCACATTCTGGCCTCCATGGTATAAGTAATTTGTATATATAGCAAAAACACTTGACTGTAAAAGTTAGAAATCTGCCATAATAGCTTTATCAGATACCACTAATTATAAGTAATTGATACATTTTTGGTGTATTCAGAGTCCTTAATTGGAAACAGCTACAGATGATTCATAGTGTCTAAGCCTTTTCTTGGGAAATCTGTAAGGTAGAAAGAGATGATAAGCAGAAATTGTGGCTGTCCAGACCTACTCTTGTCTAGAAACTTCAGAAACATAATTTTCCTATTTTTTTATTGTAATCATCTCAAACACGACATACAGAAGTTTGCCTAGAAGGAGTCTAATTTCACACCATAATTAAAAACTAATACTTCATTTTAATGGGACAGTCACCCATAGAGGAATTTGAAGAGAAGAATCATATCTTCTTCCTATGAATAACATTTTCTTGTAGTCATGGTTTGGTTTCTGATAAGTAGAACCTATTTTGTAAGTAATATATGTCTAAAAGGCATCTTTAGAAAACCAAAATTCATTCACATATAATATGATGGCCCCTATAAAATAAGAATAAAACTACTATGCATACATCTCCAAAGTGTATAGCAGCTTCTGAAAAATTAAACTCAAATAATTTTTATCCTTCATTAAATACTTACCCATTCAGTGATGTATGAGGAAGAAAATGTTGTTCAGGGACTGTGACTCATTAAACCTAGGACACATAAGAAGTATGTGGTCAGCCCCATGAGTCAGTTAAGACTTTTAATTACACTTAATTCATGATGTAGAATGCTCTCTTCATCTCAGTTCTGGAGGTTGTTGTATTGATTTAGCTTCTAAACTCAGTTTAAAATGGCTTTCTTCCAAGTAGTTAAAAAAATACATCAAAGTCATTTCCTTAAGAAATGAAGCACTCTGGAAAGCAAGGTAATGAAATAAACGTATTTACCATTGTCCTTTGCTTTTGTTATTTGATAAACAAGTTTTATACAAATTTTTTTAGAATTTATTATAACACTTGCTTCTGGGTCAGCCATTATTCCCTAGATCCCTCTCTTTCCTTGGGGTGCTTACTGCCCAGCATGAACCCCACTTGATATAATGAGTTTGCACACATTTCCATTTGCCAAGTGATGAAACTGGGACCTCTTCTAGATTCCTGGTTAGCAGAGCACCACTCCCTTTCCACCCATCACACATAAACACATTCAGGATCAACAGAGACAGGACAGAGAGACAGACAGAAAACAAAACAATCTATTCTTGGTTAAGTGTTAAACAGCTGAAGACTCATCTTCCTCTTAAACATCTGGGCAATGGTTCCTTGGATAGGAAATATCAGACAAGGGCATTGTGGGTATTTCATCTCAGGATGAAAAATGTACAGGTTTTATTTAGAGTAGAAGAGTTAGTGAGATTAGTTGCTTTATTCCCTAGAAAGTTGGAATTCAGATCCAAAAAGAAAGATCATACTAAAAGTATTTCTCTCTAATATTTTCCCATTCTCTTAGAGTGATGTATATTTTTCCTATTTAAAATGAAACAAATTTCTAGAATCCTAGAATTTGTAAGATGGAACTTCTCAGTAGTCTAGTGCTCTGACTTTATTATTTAAAAAATATGGGTTTTTGAATGAAAAAAATTATCTTATTTACTAAAAATTTTTCAGAGGATTATCTGTGTACCTGGCATTATTCTGTATTGTGATAAATAGTTGTATATTAGACAGATCATGTTATCATGAAATTTACCTTCTAGCAGATAAAAAAGATAAATAGGTTAAATATGAATAATTAAGTATCAGATACTTAATTATTAACTTTAAATAATATACTTAATATACTTAAAATATATACTTAAAATAATATACTTAATTAACTTTAAATAATAATAAAAGGGTAAAGAAAAAGCAAGTGATGACAGTAGTGCCAATTTTCATATGGTGTTCAAAGAATTCCTCTCTGGACACATGCCATTTGGAAAGAGAACTAAATAAAGTGAAGAAGTGAACATATGGATATCTGGGAAAGAGAATTCAAAGAGGAAATACAAAGTGCACAGGTGCTGATATGTGGGTGGATTTAAGCTGTTTGAATAAAGAGGAGCCATCTGTGGTTGGAGTGAAAGGAATGAAGGGAAGAAAAGGTAGTGGATGCCATCAGAGAAGGAAGCAGGGGTCAGTCCAGACAGGACCACATAGGCCATGGTAAGGACAGTGGATTTTATTGTAATTGGATACACAATGTGATGGAGAGTTGAGAGCAGGGCAACAATATAATATTATTTACATTTTCAAAAGACCTAAATTGTAAAACTACTAGAAGAAAACCTAGGAGGAAATCTTTTTGACATTAGTCTGTACAATCATTTTTCAGATATGACCTCAAAAGCAAAGGCAACAAAAGCATAAATAGACAAACGAGATTGTATCAAATGAAAAGGCTTCAGTGCAGAAAAGGAAACAATCAACAGGGTAAAGAGATAACCTATGGATATGGTTTGGCTGTGTCCCTACTCAAATCTCACCTTGAATTGTAGCTCCCATAATTTCCATGTGTCATGGGAGTGACCTGGTGGGAGGTTACTGAATCATGAGGGCAGGTCTTTCCCATGCTGTTCTTGTGGTAGTGACTAAGTTTCACTTATTCTGATGGTTTTATAAAAGGCAGTTCCCCTGCACAAGCTCTGTTGCCTGCCATCATGTCAGACATGACTTTGCTC